TGTTTTCTTAAGTTAAATAAGTAAATGTTAATATAAATAAAAAATTATATTAATAAGTAACAAGTTTTTATGACAAAAAAAATCATTCAAATTGATTAAAAAACTGCCAAACAGTTATAAAGCTAAACAAATACACAACAATTATAGCTAAATAAAAATCTTATTAAACGGCAAAATTAATGCAACAATTAAAATCGTTTTAAATGCTCATCGAAACCGCAAATCAAATTCTATACAAAAGTCCACGAAAAAAAGTGAAGCGAATCTATAGAAATTGTCGATTGAGGCGAGCAAACAGTTAGCAGCAGCTGAGATTTCCGTTAAAGATGGGTTTAATAAGAACATGCAGAAGAAGAAGAAGAAGCAGAAGAAGCAGAAGCAGTTACGCAACCAAGCAAACGGGGCCCTCTAACTGGGCAAGCGTTGAGCATTAGCTTTGACGCATCATTAGCCGTATTATCGGGCGCTTCTTTAATATTTCATGTTTTCCGTTTGCCTCAAATCATGTTAGATTTATATTTTGCTGCCAACCACAAAGCGTGTGAGGGGGGAGACGACGACGACGACGACGAGTTGATGTTGCGCAAGCCAGCATCAGGTCTATCAAGCGTTAACTGGTTCTGGCCGTAAGCCTTCAATTTGGCTCAGACAAGCTTTGGCTTGCAGCTTGGAGTTGGAAGCGCCGTTGGTTCTGCCAACCGAAATGTGTGCCTCACCGTTGTAATGATCGGTGTGCCACCTCCTGCCCGCACTTCCTGCTGCCCGCCCTATACCGCGTCTATTTTCCCCTCTATTCTATTTTTTTCCTTTTCTTTTTGCAGTTGCAGTTGTTGGTCTTAGAGCGATTCTAACCTGTTTCTCGTGTGGCAGCCAAGAAGCTTGGAGGCGACTCCAACAACATTAACAACAATAATAACAACAACAACAGCAACAGAAAAAGTCCCGTACGAAAGTCCCAGTTATTCAAGAGGAAAAACCTGTTACACGCAAGTGGAACTCGCTTCGATTCTGGCCAAGAACAAATCACAGAACGAGCGAGCGAGACAGCCGATCGAAGAGAAGCAAAAAACAGCTAGCAACAACTGAAACACGTTAGTACCGTTGTGTCGGATTCTTTGTTGCGCAACTGTGTTGCAAGATTAGCTGAGCAGCAGCAGCAGCAGCAGCAGCAGCCGCCGCAGCGACTGGTTTATTGCAACGTCGCGTCGTCGTTGTTGTCGATGAGGCAACGTCTCCGCCTGCTGCTGCCTCTGCTGCCCTCTGCTGCCTTGCCTGAGATGTTGCAACATCTGCAGCTAGAATCGGAAATGCAGCGCATACGTATATACCTATATACATATATATACATCTATCTATCTATATATGTATAAAAATTAAACAAAGCAAACAACTTTGGATAAATGGCTGGAAAACCTTGCCCAGGCAATCGCGTGCGTTGAAGCTTGACTGCGTTTTGCATTCAGTCAATTTTTCAAAACTCATATTGAGTACCGTTGCCCCGTTGCCCCGTTGCCCCTTTGCTTCTTTAACGATCAATTAAGCTACGATTTTTCTTGTTTTGTTTAGCCAAGGCTAAGACTTACCAGCAAAAATATCACCAGAATTATTTGCCAAGTGCAGCGAAACTTTTTTGTCTTCTTCTTTAGAGCTCTGATAATTATTATCATAATTATTTCTATGTGCTCAATTATTGCATAATATTTATGTATACACACACACACATATATTGTATGTGTGTGTGTAGCTTTATTAATTTTCTAAGCCTTGAAAAGTAGAAATGAAAATTTTTATGTTTGATTTTATCTGATTATCGTATAGGCATACGAATTTGTGTGGAATGAATTTTTAGTTTTGAAAGAGTCGTTTAAAAAGTAGGTAATCCAATCGCTAATATAGCGTAAATTATTCCTAATTAACTGAAAGTTTTTTTTTTTTTTTTTTTTTTTTTTTTTTTTTTTTTTTTTTTTGCCTGGCGTTTAACTAATAATATGAGAAATTATTAACTTCTTAGTGTCCAAGATCACAAAGTAAATATTGGATAAAAAATTAAATCTCTTCAGCCGGCTGTATAATTTTTATTAAAATTTAAAATACCTGAATGAGTTGATATTTCTTCTATAATTTTAAAAATTCAGATTAAGAGATTCATAATTTATTGCTTTTTTTTTTCAATAAATTTTCAGTTATCTGAATAAAACGAAATTTAATTTTCAGCCAACAACATTTTAAAATACTTAGTACTTTTTTTCAAAAGACTTTTTACTCAATAATTTTGGGTCTAATTTCAACAAGAAGTATTGAAACTTTTTAAAGACTAAAAATTTACAATCATATTAAAATTTTTTATGAATTGTTCTATAAAAACAAAACAATTCTAACTCTTAGGTTACTAAGAAACCTAACCAGAGCCTTTTCTTTATATCTTTGGCAATCGATTTCAAGCGTAGGGCGAAGCTAAGTAGAGATTACTTTGTCTCACATAATTTTAAACTAATTCGCTTTTCGTGCGCTGCTCTGGGACTAAGCATAATTAATCGTCAACTTAATCATCGGCAACAAATATGAATATGCAATACATAATTGAATAAAGAGAAGGTGAAGGTTTCAGCTGAAACCATAACAAATTGAAACTTAATTTTAGGATTCGCTATGCCATTACCCAATGTATTTCGTTATAAATGAAATCAGCCGAAAAAAAAGAAACAGAAAACAAATGAAATGAAACAAGTCCTTAACATCAATTTGTTCACTTATTTTGATTATGATGCTGTGGGATATGGGGCTCTTACCTCTTATAGTGCTGGGCATGTTACATGCGTTCTTTGATCTCAACTAAAAGTACTTCATATAGATGAACAGTTATGCAGTGCAGCTGTAACTGTTTAATTTCAACAATAATTCACAACGTGAGCTAGAGGCGAATGCTGTTTCGATGACATTGCGGGGGCACATGTCAGTGTTATCGGTAACGATATCACTTAATTAGTTCAATGCGAACCAGTTCACGATCAACGCACACGAGAGCAAACAGTTTTCAAACGGTAAATTAGCCGAAGTGGGCGCGACTCGCTGATTGGCTGGCGACGAGCGCGCGCGCGCGAGTGGGAGACAGAGAGCGAGCTAGAGCGCGAGCGCGAGCGAGATAGAGTGCATCGGCGAGAGTGCAGGGCTAAGAAGAAGCGCAACACAAGTGGACACGCTGGACTGGACGTGTGGACAAACGCTCGAACACTAAACGGCCAGGAATTCAAATCCGAATCGGGAGTCGGCAGCGCGGACTCATCTGCCAGCAGCTCGAAACCTGTGCGGAAGGCGGGCCGAGTGGGCAACGGGCATCGGAGCTCGCGATCAGCGTCAGTTGCAATTCGAAGAAAGGAGAAAGGAGTTGGCCAGCAGCAATAATAGCAGCAACAGCAGCAGCAGTCGAGCTCAGATTCTGTCTCAGCATCAGACAAGCTGCCCACACCCCACCCGCCTGACCCACCTGTCTGCCACAATCACAATCTCAATCACACACAYACACATACGCATACGAAAAAGAATTCCCGCTAATTAAATACATGATCATCGCTCAAAAATACACCCCAGCAACACGAATGTTACAAGAGTCATTCGCGTATTTCATCAGAGTCCGATTCAAATGGTTCGAGATGAGCGCGTGACACGAGATGAGTTGAGCCGATAGAAGTAGATGCTGGAAAGAAGTGAATTTCCAGCATCATGTAAGCTCTAAAGTGTTTGCATCGTGTCACGAGCTATCGCCTGGCTGTTATCTCTAGAATGACAGCGTCCGTTTTGGAGTCGAAATTGTTGCTGGAGCCTGTGACGTTACGTTTGGGGGGCCGCGTCATCGCAGCAGGCTCCAGCTGCAGCTACACACACACTCACACTCACATACACACACATGCATGGAAACATACAAAAAAAAGCGCACCTTTAACTTTAATCGTTAAATAAACAGGAAGACTTCTACAGCAAACACTTACACACACACATAACCACACACACACATACACACACGCATACAGCGTAAGAAAACTTATCACAAGTCAGTAGCAGCAGCAGCAGCAGCGAGGAAAGAAGAAAAAAATGAAATAAAACAGGTTGAGAAGTACCGCTAAGCGGGAAGAAACAGCAGCGACCGCTGCCTCTGCCGCCGCCTCTGCCGCTGCCCGCAAACAGTACGATGGCAGCAGCGCCAGAGCAACAAGCCCCACAAGCAAAAAGGTCAACGAACGTTCTTAGCGAAGAAGAATGGAATCAAAACACAAAAACACGAAAAACTGAGCAAGAAAGAGAGTAAGAAATGACGGAGAGAGCGAGAGCACGCGACAGCAGTCGACCGTCATTGGTGGGTGAGTGAACGAGCGAGCGAGCGCGCCAAAGAGCGTAAAGAAAGTGCGCGCAGAGAAAGCACGATCGCTAGGCAACTTAAGAGAGCGCCGGTGTTAAGAGTGGAAAGAGGGAGAGCGCCTGTGAGTGAGAGAGAGAGATTGCGAGCGAACAGTCAAAAAATTTATGCGGTATGCATTTTGAAAAGTATTTTGATGAAAATAACCTGAACGCAAATGTATTTTTAGCAAGAATTTCTGAAACGCAGCGGCTAAACCAAAAGTGCATTAAAAGCTGCGTTCGCAACTGAAAGGGAGAGATGTAGAAAGAAATATGGGGAGAGAGAGAGAGAGAATGAGATAGAGTCAGCGATAGGTAGAACGCTAAAGCGTTGTAACTGTCGCGAGAAAGCCAAAAGAAATTGAAATTCTTGTTATATTGCTCAATATTTGGTAATACACACACTCACACACACACACACACACACACACACAGAGATACATACGTGCAAAAGCCATTGAATGTAGCGGTATATTGACGAAATTTCTGAGACGAGCCACAAGCAAAGCTCATTGACCTCCAGCAACCGTCGACGTCGTCGTCGTCGTCGTCGTCGCCGTTGTAACTGTGTAATAAGCTTTTGGAGCTGTGCACGCGGAGGTCGGCAGCAGCTGCAGGGGCTAGAAGTATTTTTTTTTATGTGTTGTTGGTTGGTTTTTCTTTCGTTTTTTCGGTTTGTTGTATTTGATTTCTTCCGTTCGAGCTTTGAGCAATTCAACAGATTTTTATGTCTTCCTGTGCAGCTTAAAGCGTTGACTCAATTAAAAAAGAATAAAAAACAGAAACAACAGCAACAACAGCAACTGAACTGAAGACAAAATATGCTTATGCAATTGGCCGTGTGTCTTTGGCAATCTGCTTCGCGCTCGCTCACTCCCTTAGCCGATGATAAGCCTGATGCCAACACTGTTATTGGTCAAGGCAAAATCTGGCCGAGACTGTGAAGAGTTTTGTCCAAGCGCTTAAGCAAATAGCTGCGGACTCAAATTGCCTGCAACATTGATCCCGTTTCACTGTGCGTGCATGCGTGCGTGTGTGTGTGAGTGTGTGGGTGAGTTTCTGTGCGCGCGTTGTGCTGATTGGCCAATTGCTCGCTTAGGGCTTCACTAGGCGAGCAGCTGCCATTGGCTGGCTGCTCTTCTGCTCTCCTTTTCGACGTCCTTTTGTTTGATATCCGCTGCGCTGCGCCTGTTGCTGGCCTCAATACTCTTTGTGAAGAGAGTCGTTGCTATTTCGAGTTTACAAATTGCATGAAAATTCGTTTGATATATTAATTAATAAAAATATTATCAACTCAAAAATAATAATATGATACGCTTGACTTTTAATAAAAAATAAAATGAAATAAAAAAATATATAATAAGATACTAATGCGAATTTAGCAATTTATATTTAGAGCTTTGTTAGAGCACTAAAAATTCGACTTGGCTCAAACAATATATTTTCTCCAATATACTTGCGCATTTGGCAGCTACAATTATTTTCATTCACAGAATTTATTTGAATGAATATTATGCGACAGGACGAAGCATTATTGGGGGTATAAATAGAACTCGTCCTGAGGGAAAGTTTTCACTTCCAAACTGGTTGTGAAATAGAACGCAAGTGCATAAGAAGTAGAAAATCGTGTGTGTTAACTGGTAAATATAGAATATAATAAAAGGAAGGTGAAGTGAAATAAGACTGTGATTTTGAAACAATCAATGTGCATATATACATTAATATATGAATAGAATAGAATAGAAGTGTCTATTATAAAAATACTTCAACATTTTCGAAATCATATTTTGTTAAACAAAAATGTATAATACATATAGAATACAAACGTTCAAAAAAATTTAATAAAATCTTTTTATATATATTCAAATAATCACTTTAAATTAATTATATTAATAAATTCTAATACTAAGTCTATTTAATATTCTATTTATACACAACAAAAAATCTTTGATTTAATCTGTTTAATAACACTTTAACATGTTCATAAACATTATTGCTTGAAAAATGGTTTAACAATAAATATTGTGTATGAAAATGTTTTCCCATATTTTTCACATTAAATATCTTAAATGCTTCATTAAAATCACAAAGACAGCATTAAACAAGTAAGAAAGCTCCAGTCGAGACTGCTCGACTAGGAGATACCCTGAACCCTCCAAGCTGATATTCTAATCATTCTGCACTTCTTTTATGCACACATACATACACATGCATCCACACGCACGCATAAGCCTGCGCTCTGCTAACTGCGCAGTAAGCAGCGACTGCGCTTGGGCTGCGCTGCAGTGTGGGCAATATTATGAGAATTTATTTGTTAAATAATTTCTTTTGTAGACATACGATCTTAATGAAACTTTTAGAGCGTAATCATATGGTGAATATGTGTGTATATTCCAAAGCCNTTAATGATAAACTTGATATGCGCGCTGTAATTACGGACATTTTAAAAAAAATTTGAAGTCTCTAGCTCTTATATCTTCTGAAATCGACGCGTTCATACATACGGACGGACGGACGGACGGACGGACGGACGGACGGACGGACGGACGGACGGACAGACAGACGGACAGGGCCAAATCGACTCAGCTCGTCGCCCTGATCAAGAATATATATACTTTGTGGGGTCTGCCACGCCTCCTTCTGCCTGTTACATACTTTTAACAAAACCATTATACCCTGATTTCCCATTTTCAATGGGTTCAGGGTATAAAAAGCAAAAACCAAAATGTTTCAGCTATTATTATTATAATTTTATTTTTTATTAAAAAAGTGTTAGGTGTAGTTTTATGAAAACATGTTTATAATTTTTATTGTCGTATACTAGAGAGATTTCCATTTTTTTTCTCGTTTTTATTTTAATTAATTGTGAATGCATGACAAAATGCAGTTCAATCAATTGTTGAATAGCTGCATGAGAGACAGGGGTGCTCGTTATTTAATTTAGCTCATATAGTATATATAATATCTATGATCGACCAAGATAGTAAATTGACAGAATTTTGAAACAATAGAATGAAATACCAGCATAAACAATTAAAGAGCGCTCAACATTTAAACGGAATTTTGTTGGCGTTCGTTCGCTCGACTTCGATCGATGCCATGTTCTCGCATGGACCACAATTACAATACGGTCGGACAATCTGTTAACACACCAGCTACAGCTACAAATTGTTGTCATTATAATTATTGTTGTCGAAATATTTACTTATTTTGCTCGATTTTCGTGCCATTCCCAACCAGCTATAAAAGTCGTCGGAGCTGCGCATTCGATTCACACAGTTAACCAAATTCTCAATCCAAATATTTGTGCTGCCATCATTAAAACCCTTTTTTGTGACGACGACGACGGCGACGACGACCTGTGGCTCAATGAGGTTAATACGAGCCACCCTAATGGGTAGTTGGATGACGTTTTTACAGCTGGCCACGTTTCCCAGGGAAAAACACATTCGTTCCATTCATTCGTTCCCTTCATTTCGCCATTTCATTTCCAATTAGACTGAAGCCCCACAAACGCTCTTAGACTATCGTCCAAGTTGCTATTTTTTTCGCCTTTTTTTTACATTTTCAGTCAGCGGTCGACGTTCCAATTTGCCATTTGAATTTGACACACAAACAGCAAAAAAAAAAAAAAGTAGCTAAAGTTAACTAAATCCAACAAAAAAAAAACTCTTCCTACAGATAATGGCGCCCATGTAGCCCCACCGTTTAGAGCAGTTAACCAAAGAACAGGCCCCAACAGCTAGCAAAAGGACGGAAGCTAATACCCCCAAGTGATATATACAGCAGCAAAACAGTTAACACCCACACACACACACAGACAGTCGTGCAGCACGCCAGCGCCATGGACTTTAAGGAGTATCGGCAAAGGGGTGAGTCAAGTCCATAAAACGCACAGCGGCAGCTCAGATACAATTGTATCTCATTTAATTTGATTTGCATGCCTGGAACTCTATGTATTTATATGTGCGTATGTATGCCCCACACACATACGCACACAGGCATACACCACTAAAAGGATTTCCCATTTGTCCTTAGCCATTTGCCCAGCTCGATGTAATAAAACTCAGCTCGTTTATCTTGATTCGAAAAGCTTTCACTTTATTGCTCAAATTATTTGATTTCACAAAAATTTTCGAAGCGTACTTAATAAGTTTTTCACAATTTTTATGTGTATGTACATGTGTATATTTATAAAAAAAAAATATGTTCATTTACTTATTTTTA